CCATGCCATCAAGAATACATGCCTGAACTTACTCGGGATAGAGCGAGATGTCCTTTGACTTTAGCAGAGACTTGTAGAGATTGATGACAAGACCTAGGGGGAGATTACTCTCGACCTTGATATAGAAAATCGAAGAGGAGAAAGGGAGGAGGATTTGAATCCCTTCCATATGGAGGACTTCATTGATGAGGAAGGTAGGCCCCAACACTTCGAAATTCATTGTCGGAGGAGGCCAAGAGAAGAAACAACATATGGGGGACAGATTTCAGAATAAAATTGGATCAACTAGAGTTTGATGGGGTATGGATCCGAACGATTTCATCGAATGACTACTGTCTGTTGAGAGAATCTTCAAGTATAGCAAAGTTCCACAAGATAAGAGGGCGAAGCTTGCAACCATCAAATTGAGAAAAGAGCACTTCCTGTGATGGGTAAATTTGCATAGACAGAAAGAGAAGACAATGACAAAATTACGAAGTGAGAGAAGATAAGGATGGAGATGCAAAGAAAATATCTACCACCTCATTATCACCAGATTATGTTTTTGAGACCATCACCTACAACAAAGACCTTATCGGTGGAGAAGTTCATGATATAGTTTGACTAGTTGTGGCTGGTGTAAGTTGGTCGAGCCAGAGAAACATATCATAGCCAGATATTTGGCGGGCCTGACGCCAGCTATCTGCTTCATTGTGTAGTTGCAACCCTATTGGTCACTGGAAGATGTCCAAACCTGAGAATTGAAGGTGGAGAGACAATATAAACAGAGTAAACAACTGCTTCCATTCTGACAACCACTCATAGTTGGAGACATCAGCAGGAGATATCTCAGGGAGTTGAGAAGACTAGTCAGGATAAGGACAGATCCACTCAAGTTAGAAGCCTGAGAAGAGTAGCACACCCACAAAATTCCGACCCATAAAATGCTTCAGATATCATGGATTTGGGCACATCGGTTCCAGTTGCCTGATGAGCCGAGTTGTGTACTTTACCGAACATAATGTAGTGGAGCAGGTTAGTGACAAAGAGGCAGCTGACGAACACGGTGTGGTGCTTTATCTTCCAATGAATAAGGGCGAGATGATCGTGGTTTGAAGGGTCCTATAAACTGAGAATACGAAGGTGCAATAGTGACTTCGTCACAACTTATTCTACACTCGTTTCATTATAAAAGTAAAGATAAGCAGTCTCATCATCGATGAGAGGAGCATCAAGAACGTAGCATTTGCACAGATGGTGAAGTTGAGCCTCATGACTTGGAGACATTTTTGATCGTATTCTCTGACGTGTTTGAATCAACATTGACAAGAAGTGTCTCGTGCAGTTTTCGATTGGAAGTCAGTTGTAGGATCAGGGGTGGTGCAACGTGGTGCTCATGGACGCCTGCCAACTTTTATTTTGGAGGCCATGACAGTTTGATCGAAGGACTCTGTACGATGGCTTCAAAAACACTTACCACCAAAGATATTAAGCGCATCGTCCTTTGAGTTCATGTGAAGTTCGAGATCACATATGTGGACATACTAGCAGAGACGTGACGGTGGGATCAGTCTTGATGGCGATAGAAGATGACAGGACTGAGTCGCCGACATCAGACATAAAGCAACCCCTACAGAGGTAGTTTCAAAAAATTCTATTCGATAGTTTACCGCCATGGTTGCCACCATTCTGGGAGATTCAGGCTACCCTCACTTCAGATCAGGTTGAGCCATTCTTGGGTTACTTTTGGAGGATTGAACAATATATATGTGACATGCAAACCCAGTTCAATTCACTAGTGAAATCTTAGAGGATTGCATTGATATGAGTTGTTGCTCGCAAATGGGGAAAGCTCTTCAAGTGTTTTGGGAGACGGTGCTATCGTCAATGGGATCCACGAGCTTCTTGGGTCACAGTTGAAGACCTTTAGCCCTGAAGGTCACACTAGCTCCATCACCGGAAACCAACAAGCAAAGGCTTCGACTTTGAGAGATGAGGTCGAAGCTCCCCCAACCCTGCGAGATTGATGCTGGCGCGGGGGCACCTATACCCGTTGGTGAGGGGGTGCCTCCACTCGTCAGTGCGTGGGCGTTGATTCCCGCACGGGTGTTGTACAAGTCGCATGAGTTCGACTCGATCCTGGCAGAATCAAGATCAAGGGGACCTCCTTAGCGCACGGTTCCCTCCTATTTGGAGTAAGGTCAACTCCTCTTTACTCTAAAACTATTTATATGTTATTTTATGCGTTCTTGGTCAGTTTTTGATTGAGTTTTCTGTCAGGAAAACCGTCAGCATCCAGGTTTTCCTTCGAGGGCTATATCTGACAACAAGAGGTGCTCCAACTCTATCTCACCTGAGGTGATAGCTATCCTCGATCTTTCTACTCCTTTGCAACCTTCCCTCCACTGCCTCCGTCACTCTATTTGTTGCAACCACTCGAAAACCAACCTGAATTTTTCCCGGCAGCCACCTTCCACCTAACTTCGATCCCTCACCTTCACCTTCCAACACCCAGCCAACCTTTCTCTGCCACCTAATCATTGTACCAGCCTTCTGGTACCCCATCCCCCACATCATTGTCGTTGTCCCACGCTTGTTGAACCGTTTTCCTGCCTCCTATTGCTATCTCAACCATGTATAACCTCCACACCGCAGTCCACATCTTCCAACCTCCTTCCTGCCGCCAACCAGCACTCCCCTTCCCCTTCCCCTTACCCTTCCCCTTCTCCTTCCCGATCGCACCCACGACCACTCCTAACCTCTTTTACCAGTCACCACTCTTGGGATATGTTTTAATTGAGTTTGCTATTGTCTATTGTTGTAATTCCCTTTTAAGAGCATTTGATTATAACCTTATTTGCTGTGAGTAATAATATGTGCTTTCCCAACTGTAGTTTGGACTAACTCCGGTATCAAAATGTATTCCCAATATTCTGAAGCAGTTGTCATATACAAATAAACATGGAACAAAGCATTGGCATAGGGAAATCTTCATGGATGAATTGGAATTGACAAATCTGATGCCATATTTTTGCTTGAACCATTTGTTCAAGCAAAACTATGTGTTCAAGCTTTGGCATCTTACAACATTTCCTTTAGTAGTAGAGGGATTTCTTACGTTTCTGATTAAATCTTGAATTAGTAGTGCAAAAGGAAGATTTTTAGCTTTTGATTATGCTAGCTTTATCTCAAGTATAACCACAAAGTTCTTAAAACTCTTTTCAGAAAGAAGCTTTTTAAAACTCTATGTCAAAGGATCATCACCCCAAGATTCTCTTCATTAATGGTTATAAAAAGTCTTAATTTTGGTTACATGACAAGGATTGCATTTATTGTCATCTGCTCATCATATAAATTAATTCATGTAGATCAAAATATCTATTTTAAGTAGCGGTATTTCACCTTTGGGCTATTTCATCTTCACCCCTCTTATTATTAATATTCTTATAATCAAGACACCACCAGTTTTAGACAAAACAATCATGTTAATATTAGCACTATAGCCATTATCAATCATATTAGGTAAATAAACCAATTACTTCGTAAGTTCTACTGGGTGGCACCATTCGTTGGCTCCTTGGCCCTTTCAATTTGAGATTCTAGTGGGTTCAATTGCATCATTTAGGGGGATTTACATGTTTAACTTGCCATTGCTTTTCATTTTATCATTATTTTAATCTTGTTTAGTTTTTTGAGTTCATAATGAAAATTTAGAGTCCATTTGGAGCAGTTTTTTTTGGTACTTTAGAAAGTCCTAGTTCTATTCGGCTACAATTTTCTTGTTACTGTTTAGAAATTTTTGTGGTGAAAAATAACTTTCTACAATTAAATTTATTAGTGTGGTAGTTATAAATAAATTATTGTTTCACTTATTTAAAAAGGAAAAAAAAAATTCTATAATGCCCATAAGTTTTTCCAAAACCTTTGCTTTGCCCACAATATTTCTATTATTTTTACAGATTTGCAACCACCTCAATAGTTATAAAACATCATAGGTTTTATACCCGTGCATTTTGCAATGGCAAAAATAAAATGGAAGACTTTCAAATACAACTTTTTTTGGATACTTGTTTTAAATCAATACCAATCCAAATTTCTTGCTCAAAGTCAGCAATATTATGTATTTCTGCAAGAACTCTAGCAGTTGATGTTATTTGCAAAGGTGCAGCCATCGAATATACTTCTAGGGGTTTTTTAAAGATCATGCAACTTCTAAACAATATGGGATGGCATGATTGATTTGGTCAATTCTGATGTGCAGAAATAAAATACAGCTACGAGAGAATGGGGATTCTTTTTTGACATCAACATATGGTTCCATTTGAGCAATTGAAGTTAGGATCCAGTAAAAAATTGTAGAACTTTAGAGAAAATGCATGTATTGTCTTCCTCCAACTAAATCTAATTAGAAGATGGCGAAAATCTAGCAAATCAAGTTTGAAATAAAAAACTAAACCTAGATACAGAAATAAATTTTCAGATCCCAAGATTGAGATGGCCTGAATTGACATTTCCCCACAAGAAAGTGTCAAATTTATTTTCTGCCAATAAGAAAGCATGCTTACCACTCTGAAGTGATTGTTAAGCTGGGGGGGGGGGGGGGGGGGGGGGGGTGGTGACGTATTCCTGGTACTCTTTTTTAGTGCCAACTTTCCTCTGTGGATTCTCCCGACTGTAAATAATGATCCATGGAAAATATGGAATCCAATTGAAGAGGGTACTGGATCATGTAGTATAGGTGGGAGATATAAGACTTCTTCCAAATCACCAGAACAAGAGTGAATGGGAGACAGAGTGTGGAATGTTAGCACGCCATGATTAGTTGTTTCATGTGATTTCAATACCTCTTTGGTTGGATTAAATGATCGATGACATTTTTTTTATTTGCACTGTATGCTTGTTAAACTGTAGTCGGTATGTGACTGCTGTTCAATATCACTGAAGTGATTGCGTGCAAGATTGAATTTGTGTGCATTTTCAACTTTTAAAATGTTCGCTTGTGCTTGTTTTCATAAATTTAGGTTCTTGTTGACATGATTCGTGTGCCGGGTTGGGCTTTTGAAGCTGCTGGACAGGAATCAAGAGGAATGAGCCAAGACACGACATATCATCCGGGACTTTATTTAACAGCTGCCCAGGTATCTGCTTTTGATTGTTAACTTTCATTTAATGTTGCTTAACTTTGCCATTTATATTTTGAATAGAGAGAAGCAGTCGAGGCACTTATTCAGGAGCTTCCAAAGTTCAGGCTTAAGGCAGTTCCAGCAGATTGCAGTGAATGCCCTATCTGCCTTGAAGAGTTTCATGTGGGGAGTGAGGTAATGTTCTCTAAAATGATCCTGGCAAAGTTTAGTTTTTATAACAGTCCATTATATATTTATTTGTTCGCACTCGGCATATATTGTTGATGAGCTAAGCCATAAGTATCTATTGGCATGGTAGTGAGTGTTTGCATGCTAATCATAGACATCTTTTGTCACACCCCAACTAACCCTCTTGGTAGGGTCAATCATAGTGCGACAGAGGCTGGTAATTTGATCAGACCAACTCTCACAAACATTCGTTCTGACTTATATAACCATGGCCCAATGGGTGATAAGATTAATTTAACTAGATCGCCACAATATACGTGATACATTGCATTTCATATACATATACATACTCGGAAGAATGAAAATCATATTATCCAAAACATTAAAATTATACATAGCTGCTAAGTCCAATATAATAAAATTATATACCCATATATATCTACAAGCTCTCAAATCTCTCGCGCAAAAGCTGTATAAAGACACACCTGACTACTCTCCTCGGTACTTGTTGCCTCTACCTGGAAGACAACAATTAAGAATAAGCAATAACAAACTCAGAGAAAAAATCAATACTAACATTAGAGTTATTACATGAAAAAGAAATAACATGCATCTTCGTAGGAAATTGTATACGTCTATACGCACAAGTAATACCATGCTAGCATGGTACATATTATAAAAAGAGTGCACAAAGTATAAAAATTAAAGCTAAAGTGTAACATGTATGAGTTCGTAAGTATGAAATCATAAATATAATTAAAAACATATTCATAATTATGTTCATAGGTTATTTATTATATGTAATCATAACAATGTCATTTCATAGTAATGTTACTTATTTAATGTATAGAGCTAAACTATTTTTATGTCTTTTCATCATCAGTCATCATGTTCTAAATGTCATATAAACTATTGATAAAGGTCGGGCTTCCCCCAACATGGAAGTTATTGATACCCTTTGATATCCACAGTTCCCTAATATTTTGTCGCCACTCAATCCTAATGTTTCCCAGAGTTTCGTTCCCGTATAAATATCAGGAGTCGAAAATACTAAATCCCTGCATAATGTACTTGAAAGCACTCAGGTAATAGTTTTCTCATACATTCATTGTGACATTTGAATTATCATTGATGTATTAAATATTTCTAAACGATTACATGCATGATATGTATGAAAACATAATAAATGAATATCATTCATATCATAAGCATAGTCGTATGTAGCATATCCTGTTCATAGCATTACATATATCATAAGAAAAATAAACAGACATTCATACTTTCAATTTTCGGTATTTATTTACAATATGCGGGAAATTATAAATGCATCCATGTCAACTAAAATTTATATGAAAACCTATAGAATATTATTTTTCTTAAATTAGGACTCGATTATTTCACCTGATTTGGCGGAGTATCCCACAACGTGTGCCGCATGCTCGTCTCGAGCTCACCGCCTCATATAGACAACTTGGGGCCTCTAGACAGCACAATGTTTCATAAAATTTGGCTTATTACAGACATTAGCCCAAAAATGTATTTTATTTCTTGAAATATACCTCAAAAGAGCTTTTTCCAGCATAATTCACTTTTTGAAGGTCACCAATTTTCTCTCCAACTCTTTCTAACGCCTTAATCTTAACTTTCCCCTCGTTGATTTCATGCTAAAACTCATATGGAAGCTTGCAAATCACTTTCTAGGCTTACGACACAAGCTCAACGCCTCCAATGGATACCGAAAACAAGAAAAGGATGAAAAATGAGACAACTGTCAAAATGGAAGGGTGAGAAAGGAAATGAAAGTCCCAAATGATATGAGAGGGATTCGTGCTTACAAAAATTGCCCCGGAACCCTGGATCATGTTGTATGGCTCCCAGGTGGCCGCTTACCCCTTCATATTCACGAATGCTATAGTGCCTCGAGCAGAGCACTCGTGGGATTATCTTCAGTCGCACGAAACAGAACATATAGGGGGGGCGACCGAACGAAGGAAATAAGATGACATAAGGGTTAGTTAGCTACAGTGTTGCACGAGATTAAGGAAAAATTAGGACAATAATTATGGTAAATTAATTTAATTAAAACTTAAAACTTCCAAGTTCCATATCTCCCATTCTGTTAACAATTCATGCATGATGCTTTATATGTAATTAATCGATTTCATGCATAGAATTTTATGAAATGATTTTGATCGAATTCCGGGAGATGAAAAATTTGTTTAACTTTTAAAATTTGTCGAACTTACTTGATTTTTCTGCTTTTGGGCATTAACATTTTTTTCAGAAGGGCTTGCACGTTAGTGGATCATTCATAGTTTATGCATTTATCACATGTTTTTTATGCATTGGAGACCATCTTAAAATAACTTGGCGTAATAGTCTACTAATTTAATTTGTTTTTTTTTTTGAATTAAAAGGAATGTGCACTTATGACTTAACGAATCTTTGATTGTGATAAAAACGTTTCATTTATGTAAAAGATTCTTATTGTAAGAACCAAAATTTCTTCTCCTTCTCTGCTCGACGCCTCCCTACTTTCCTAAATTGTAATTATGCCTTCATTCTTTCCGAACTGTGAAATCTTCACGATTTCTTTCCTTTTCGCTTGCCTCTCGCCACTGCCATTTAGATTTGAGTTATGTGCGATCTTCCATGAGATTTTCTTTCCTTTTCTTCTCTCCTATTGTTGTTGTCAGTTTCGCGAATCGCACTTGCCACCTTCCCTAAATGCTCGAGCCCACCACATCAAATCCCTGTATAAGAAAGTTCAAAGGGTTGGTTGTTGTCTCACATCGCTATGCTCGTCCTACAACCGCCAACCTCTATTGCTTCCCCTCTCTCTCCCTTTCTTCTCATTTTTCTTGCCCAAATTCAACAGATTGAAATCCTCCTCTCCTACTGTGACCTCACGGGCATTGTAAGCCCTCCCCATCCTTCGTTTCTTTTTTTCTTTTGTTATCGTTTTATTCTACTATGATATATATATATATATATATAAGCACCAAATCTTTCCAGCTCGATGTCGTCTGTTCCGATTTCTTTCTGCTAGGGTTTCGCCATGATCTCCTCGTCGTATCTTCTCCATCGCGCTTAATCCACGTTGTTTGGCGTTGTTTCTTCGTCGCGCACTGTTACGCGCGTCTGTGTCCTGCGGTCTCGCTTCTGCGGCTCCCGTCCGTCGCGCACTGTTCGCGTGTCTGTCAGCTGCGCCTCGATTCTACGGCTCCCGGCTTCGTTCGGCTCTCCCGAATTTCGTTGTTGAGCTCTCAGCTGTTGTTGCATGGCTTCAGGACGTTCCTACGCCGCCGCCCTCGCCAGTGATAACCCCGTCTCCGCTCCTCTTTCGAATATGTTCCCGCAACGATATCACGACAATTTTGCTATTGGCATTGAAACCAGATTTCTCAAAAAAGCTTCCCGTAAAAATGACAAACCTGCAATCTTTCTCACTGAGGCAGATATCTCCACTCTAGCTGCGCCCTGCCGACTGTTTCTAGTAGGTAAGTTTCTTTATGGAAACCCTAAACTTGAGCTAATTCGAGAGGACTTTGAGCAAATGAAGCTGAAAGGGGGTTGGAAGATCGGTAAATTGGATGGTCGCCACATTCTTATTCAATTATCAAATGACGAAGACTACATCCATTTGTTTGCGAGAAGAGTTCTTCGAATAAAAAACCAGGTGATGAAGGTTTTAAAATGGACGGTGGATTTTGACCCTTGTACTGAACCTCCTACCATTCCTGTTTGGCTGCACTTCCTAGGTTTGAAGATCCACCTTTTTGACCAAGAGCTTCTCTTCGCTTTAGCGATGGTATACGGTAAACCCCTTAAAGCTGACAAACCTACAGTGAATCTGACTCGACCTTCAGAAGCCAGAATTTTGATAGAAAGGGATATTACTTTACCTTTTTCCGGGAGAAATATAGATTGTCACACAACATCAGAGATTTTGGCAGCAAGCAGAACTTGAACAGATACCACTTTATTGTACTCACTGCCGTATGTTTGGACATTCTACTTCTCAATGTTATCAATTGCATCCGAATTTAAAACCTTCAAGTAAAAACGCTTCTGGATCTGCCCCACCTCATACCTGTCCCTCCTCTGCTCCTGAGTGCATTTCACAGACTATTGAAACACCGGTTGAAACGATGTCACCTCCCCCTCCCACTACTGGAGACAATACTGTCTCTGTTCTTCCGACTGATATATTGACAGATGGTTTAATTGGGTCCGATAATAATGATAGTATTGAAGCTCCACATCTCCAAAATGCATCAGGTGTTGAAGAGACATGCTTACAATCTCTTCAGAATCAGAATGTTGTTACTGCTAGTCAGGAGCTGGGGGCTCATTCTCTCCTATATGCCCAACAATCTGTTGACCATACCGATCAGATGAGCCAGTCCTCGGATGAGGAATGACAGATATACACATCTAGAAAAAAAAAGAAGAATGGAGGCACATCTCAGCTTGGGAACTTAATGGATGATACTCTAGTAACTTCGGGTAATGGAACGACACTCAGTAATTTGTTAGCTGTCTCCGCACCTAGAACCAGAGACAGAGGCAAAACCAAGCTGGCTTGTGCCTAACAACTTGTTTCCTGCAAGTTTTGTTTTTCTTTTTTTTTGTCTTTTATTTATGTTTCATCCTTTTAGGATGCTAGTGTCTGATGTATTGTATGGGTAGAATACCTTTTTTTGGGTTCTCTCATACAAGCTCTATGTATCTTTTTAATTTCAATAAAATTAGTCCTTGGGCGTTTAAAAAAAATATGTATATATATATATATATATATAATTTTTATTGACCTTGAGGATACAACGTCAATAGTATATATTAACTATTTTGCCCCTAACCTCTAATTATTTTGTAGGATTGTCAGTTCCACCCATTTCACTTCATATATTTCTTTTTGTGCTTGTTATAAGAATTATTTGTTGATCATAATGAAATAATTAGCTGCTTTATTTTATTATTGTACAACTCTTTGCATAATAAATTAAATCCTACAATTTTAATGTTTTCTTTTTTTGTATTGTACGTTATGAAATTGCATGTAAATTTTTGTCATGTCACAAGTTTGTGTGAAGTAACTTATTACTTATATATTATACATGCAAAAAAATTTAGTATGCTTGTGCGATGGTATATAGGTCGGTGGATCCATTTTGGATAGTCGATCCGGTGAACTCATAGTGACGACTCTATAGAAAATTATCGGGTTTCCTTTGGTTGTTATTATTCTTCCCAGTTTCAGGATGTTTGTTAAAACCAATCATATAAATGGAAATTAAATAATAAATAACTGATAAGTTATATATTATAAGGCCTAATCGAATTTGAAATGATTGTTTGTTTTCCTAAGATAATTGAGCATATTTTGTTTACCACAGTTTAACTTATGATATTATATATGTATATAGTAATTGTTCATCTTTATTGCTCATATTGCATGTCCCAATTCCTTGTTATTTATGCTTTACTATAGCGGTTATTTATTGAGTTTGATTTGTCAAACTCATCCTATTAATATTTTTGCATTGCATATTTTATTCAAACACTTGTAGGACTGTCCAACATGAGTAGATTTATATTTTACTTTTCCGGCTTTGTATTAGTTATTATATTTTCTTTTTTGGGTTTGGGTTGTTTTCTTATTGTTATTTCAGTTTCGTTCTGTTATTTCTTTTTTTCCTTCAGTTGTATCAGTTATTTAACTTTTAGTTATAAAATAAAATTTATCTTTCATTATGTTTGTCTGTTATTACTTATCATTTTTTCTTTGATAATACAAAACATGTTAAATTTATTTTCTCATGCACTTTATTGTTGAGATGTATCACCTTTTGAATCCGGGGTGTGATAGGGTGGTGTTAGAGTCTATATTCTGTATTCAACATCACTTGTCCTTGCCTCATATTTTTTGTCTTTTTAGGATTGGGTAAGGGATAGGCATTGCAGCTGCTTGTGCAACAAGAGTTCCGAGAGCTACTATAGAAGCGATACTTGTTCCTAGGGATCTTCCCTCCCCTACTCATCGTGTACTAATCATGCTCAACCTGCTAAGACTACTAGAGTGCCAAATCTTAACGTGATGATTTTCGTGGAGGTTGTACCACATAATTGCATAAAAGAATAGAAATAAAAGAAAATGAAGGAAGAGGAGGGTTTACGATGCTCGAGCGATTGAGGAAAAAGGAAGGAAGAGATGCGACAACAGAGAAGGCTCCAGAGCTACTGTCGAGGGTAGACCGGAAGGAAGGATGAGAGTTTCGGTCATTTGCCTTTGGCTAGGTCAAGGAGAACGACAAAAAGGTAGAGGGGGCTACTGGGATCAACTGTTCCTGGTGGGGAGCCATAATGAGGTAATGCTTGACCTTTCAACTACAGTTATATAGGAATTTGAGGCGGTGGAGAGTCGGTAAAACCACACGAGAGAAAAAGGAATGAAATCCTTGCAGGAGATTAGGTGCGGAAAGCCAAATTGGGAAGGCGGCAACAACGGGATCGCAATATATGCGCGATTGTGTGATTCATGCGATCAATAGAGGAAGGTGCGGTGCGGCTCGGTAGCAGGAGAAAATGAAAGAAAAAATTCAGATCTTATATCAACAGTGTATTTATGGATGATGATTGGTGTGTATCACTAGCTTTTTATCACTTACCGACTAACTGACCACTGTGGGCATAATGTCACGGACTAACTTATCTCAAGTCACCCGTATGGTTGTAGCGCTCTTCCTTGGTACCAAATCAGCTTAACCCTCACAACGCTTGATTTTATAAACACAAAACACTCTAAGAAGAAGGGCATGGAGAAGTATTGGAGAAAAGAACACTTCACTAAGAAAGAAAAAGTACAACACTTGAATGCTTGGAAGCTTGGAAGATTTTATTGGATGGTTACAAATGAGGGGAGGAATTCCTATTTATAGCCCCCTACAAGTTCAAGGGAATATTCTGGAATAGCTTAGTTTCTAGAGTGCTCTACACTTCATATATACATACATAGCCCTAGAACTTTCTAGGTTATTATTGAGTTGTCCTTAGAACCTTTCCTTCTCATATTATCTAGAATTGAGTGGAATCTTCTAGAATCCCTTGAATTGCTCTCTACAATCGGGTCTTTTCTGGAATCCTCCATCCCATGCTTGCCTTGCTAATTTTTAGAGGATGGCGAAGCGTGACAACAGTCTCTTAAAGCCAGATTCTTATGAAACAATCATTTTATAGCAAAGAAATAAAAGTAACTGCTGTTATCGTAGATGGCCCAGTGGTAAAGCTGAAAATATTTTCAATTTTTTGCAGGTAAGGGGTCTCCCATGTGCCCACAACTTCCATGTGGAATGTATTGACCAATGGTTAAGGCTAAATGTGAGGTGCCCCAGGTGTAGATGCTCAGTGTTCCCCAATCTGGACTTGAGTGCCCTCTCCAACCTTCGTTCTGAATCGGAAAGACCCTCAGCTAGCGAGGAGATGACAGCAGCCACTCGCTTTGTGCGATCATCACAGCCTGTTCGTCAGAACTATCTGCTCCGATTGCAAGGACTGTTACGCCCTGCAGGGACTGAGGGTGGTGTCGGTGGTGGAAGTGCAGCTGATCATAGTGCTGGCATGGACAGTGCAGTGCATCCAGTGATTGTTTCAGAAAGTGCAGAAAGCATCACTGAGGATCCCAACCTGCTTCGAGTTGTAGTCGATCAGAGATCCTCAACATGAAACCTTCGCTAAATGAGCGTTCTTCTGTAACTACATATTTGTCTTATGTACATCCGGAAAGCTGCAGCTCTTAGAAAATGGTATGGTTCGATGTGTGTGCACCTCTCAGGAGTAGAGGAGTTGAGTATTTGTCATGCGGTCCAGCTCCTAGAAGATGTTATGGTTTCATGTGTGTGCACAGCTCAGGAGTAGAGGAGCATGCTGTGTCTTTAATTTTTTGTGTTTTAAGCTGTGGAAGCTGTATAAGAAATACTTTCGCAATGGAAGATGGGTGTGTTTCTCTTAGGCTAGCAGCTTGCAATATCTTGGCTACAAAATCTTAATCATCCGTCTTCGGCGGAAAGTGTTCAGTTTTTCTAATGCTGATTTGATTTTCCTTGACGAAATAATTTTTACATTTTAAAACTTTTGGTATAGTTATTTAGTAGGAGCGTTCACTTTTAGTAACATTATCAAAGCTTTCTAAAATATATTTTTTGGCCTATAAGCTCCATGATTATGTTTAGTTTTTCATCATCTTGTATTCAAAGTTTTCTTCTGATAAAGTTATTAAATCTTAATAAACAATGCTTTATGCCATCTTTTTTTGCTCCATTTTCTAGTAATTATAATACTTTACCTTTCAAATAAATTTGAATAGACTTGAGCATTATGCTATTATATCAATAGCCATTAAATTTGATATACTTTCAAACATTTCTCATTATACAATAAAAGTTATTTAGGTATTCTTCATATCATGAAATGTTATTTTCATACCCATGGTATATGAAAAATGGAAGGATTCGTTCATTTATTAGTTTTAGACTGACTATAAACAGGGCTTATGGTCTTTAATTTATACTCTAGTGTTGAATCAGTCATGGACCCACTATCATCTATAGCTTATATGTTTACAGTATCATGTGATACGTCTATACTAACAACTACTTTAATATGTCTACAATATCATTTACTTGTGAATAATGATGAATTGATTGAACTTGTATCATTTTCATTTAAACAAATCTTGAATTTAGAATCATCTTGAGACCAATAGACCCACATATGAGAGATTAATGTTTTCTAAATATAGATATATTATTGAAGAAAAAAAATATAATTTTTAAGTTACTCAGTTAATGAAATTAAAATTATAAAGTATGTTTCTCCAATTTGGAGCATCTTCGAATTCAAATGAATATGATCTCTAATAATTTACGTATAAAATATAAGAAACTTCTTAAAATGAGCGAAGGTTATGAACTTTAAATACAACACCTCATTGTTGTTCATTCAGTGCCATAGAGCTATAGTCTACAATGAAGGGCTAAGGAAGGTCGGAGCACTGGATCACTACGCTAGTTTTGGCCATTTTAGTGCTAAAAATAGCAGAATTCTTACAATAAATTAAAAAGCTTATCATCATAACATTATAGTTGAGCATCACATTATTGTATTTAGTGTCGTAGTGCCATCTTCCCAACACTGAAGTGTAGTAATCTGAATGTTTAGTTTAAAAACAATTTTAAAGCAAAAGAGAGTTGAGGTTGCAATTTTAAATATTATCTTTATATTGTTATGTTTCCTACTGTATGAAGATTGTTATAGAGAACTAAGTATATATTTGGGTTAAGGTGCAATCAACTAATTAACTTAATGAAGAAGTTTTGTGAGTTGTTAATTCTTAAAATTGTAAGATATATCTCATGTTTAATTTAGTTGGCCATTCGACCAATATCAATTTAACGTATCTAGCATTAAATGATATCAAAAATGTAAAACTTAATGCAATCTTTTGATTTTAATTCATATAGGAAGAAGTGAATTAATTGACAAGGTTAAAATTTTTATGTTATCATAAGGGGCTAACGTTGAGCTCCTTACCTACTCCAAAATTTACTTGATCAAAATTGATCAAAGATGGCTTTCTACAAATGCAACATTGTATGCACATGCTTAAATTGGTTCGAGTATGGTCAAAACTACCTGAGCATAGCTCGTTCCCAAAATGGAATGCACTGATGCAATCAGAGCATCAAAATTATCTAAGAATGTTTTCTATGGCATCAATTTAATTTATCAACTCAAAAAAGACAAATTACCAATATGATGTTGTTGGAATCAAATTTGAAGCATCTTGATCGTCATTGACATAGCTCAAATTTCATTTGATTAGATTATGCCAATGCATTCAGAATTTTGAATTTCCCTAAGTACGACATCAATATTATTTGAGTATATATTGCTGAACTGAGGCAATCAACCCTTAATAGTTATGTTGAACTGAGTCTATATATATATATATATATATATATATATATATAGGAGGAAAATCTTAACCACTTGTTCTTGTCAGATTTCAACCTCAGTTTGGATCTCAACTCTGGAGTATCTGAATCTCAGGCATTTATACTGCAACTGGAGCAACATGGAAGAATGCTGGAAGGATTAGAAGGAGCATAAGTTCCTTTTTATCCCTTCTATTATTGCTTGGTTTATTTAGATGACCAGAAATAATGTTAAATATGAGGATAAAAATGTTTCAGCTCTGTATATATATTTATAAACTACTATAGCTACATCACTAGAGTGCAACAACATTTTAAAGTTCCTTTAACAGATTCAGTGGCTGCTCTTACAAAAGGTCCACTTGTACAAATAGTGAAATGGAGGAAGCCAGGTTTTCTAGGGTCAAAATTATCACTGATGGAAGTTTCACCTCTACTACTGCTAGAATTAGGGGTGTCTGCAGAAAACATTTTGGCAATTTTTTTTGGTTCTTTCAGTCTCCTCTGATGGCTATTTCTGTCTTAGAAACTGAGTCGGCCGCTATCTTTTGGGCTCTCAAAATTGCCATTACACTGACCTTAACTTATATCCACATAGAATATGATGCTTTACGATTGATTCAAATCTTGCAGAGGAAAACCAACATCCCTGGGTAGCTAGCATATTGGGTTAAGAAGATCATTGGGCTCTCTTATATGGGTCAAGTTGTTTGGAGTCACATCCCCAGAGAAGGTAACCAGCCAGCCAATTAGTTGGCTAAATCTAGTTGTTCCATTGAGCTGATCATTTGCTTTAATGTCCCTTGTGGATTTTTGAAAGTTTTGCTTAATGGAGACTCTCTTGATCTCCCTTTCCTTAGATGTAAAACCTTTTAGGTGGTATTTGAGGTTGGAAGCTGAGATTATTTTATTTGTACTTGCTTTGGGTGTATCGAGACTTACTGCAGGAGTTATTCTAGGTATTATTCATCATGTTATAGAAGTGGTATTTGAGGTTGGACATTGGGTTCCTTTTACTATTTCTTTGGGTTTATAAGGACCTACCACAAAAGTTATTCTTAGTGTTATTGAGGTAGTGTCCACAAGGCCTACCATGGGAGTTATTCTAAGTGTTATTGGTGGTAGCATTAAGGTCTCCTACCGTGGTTGTATTAGATTTACATCGAGTGACATCACTACAGTTTTTGTTGCATCGGTCCCCACACAGGTGTTATTCAGGTGGCTCATAAGCCAACCACAATCCCTCCTTCAATCCAACCATGAAGACATCTTCTCATATGTCCTCTATGTGCATTTGCTATCTCTCTTTTTTGAAGGTTTTCTCGTTCATAACTTTTTTGGGTATACTTGTATAACTTTTTGAGTACCTATTTTGAGTGAGTTGTATATCTTGTGAGTGGGTTCCTTGCACCCACTCACTAAAAAGCCTTGTATCCTCTTTTAACATCAATGAATTTACCTTCGGGCTTCATATATATATATATATAGCCTCTCCAGAAAAAAATTTCTATTATCAAAATTATTTTAACAAAAATTAAGGCTAAAGATAATATGGGCAATACCAACCCATAAATTTGTAGTGAGAAACTAAATTCCTTGTCCAAACTCCAATAAGAGTGTAAGAGGGCCCCATGTCTCTTATTTGAAATATGGGAATAAAGTGATATTTTTGCTCGACTTGGCCCAAAATCGGTCGATTATTGGAAAAGAAAAACATGCACTATTCAATATCCCATGCACCTCCTTCATTCCCACTTTTTGCTCTAGGATTTTTCTTAGGTTCTTCTGTCTAGGGTTTAGGTGATAAGCCCCTTTTCGTTCTTCTAGCTAGGATTTTTCTTTTGTTCAAAATGCCTCCATTAGGGGTTGTCGCCTTAAATCTCAATGGAGAAATGAAAGAAAAACCCTAGAGCAAACAATCAAAATGAAGGCGATGCATGAGATTTTGAGCATGACTCATTTTTTTTCCAATTATCAAATTGGTTTCTGGTCGGGTTACACCAAAATATCAATTTTTTCTCAAATTTTAATTGAGGAACATTGGGCCCGCCAATGCAACAGGTGGCACATTCCTATTGGAGTTTGAGCGCGTCCAGCAATGATTGCAATTTTTAAGAAAAAATAATGATGAAATTCTTCTTATTTTTTTTATTATAGCTGTGTTAAAAAAAATCTCAACAACTAGGGGGAGTTTAAATAAATTAAGTTAATTAATGCTCTTAAAATTAAAATAAAAATTTAAATATTAAAAAAATTATAACTTCATAAAATAATTATTATTTATTTAAGATGTTAATTAATAAAAGACCATCAATCAGTTAATTAACATGTTAACTACTTAATTAATCCTTTAATTAATTGATTAAGATATTAATTAAATAAGTAAGATTATTATTTAGTAAGTTAAGATATGGATTAATTATTTATTTAATTAATTGTTTCATTTAATTTTTTAGTATGTTAATTAAGTTGTTAACATATTAATTAGAAGTTTGATCATTTGATTAATTCTCTAATGGTTTGATTAATCAAATTATCTATTGCTAAGGCTTGATTAAGGGATTTTAAAGTAATTAGAAAGGTAACTAGGTAATAAATTTTTTGTTAAGGGGTTTAAAGCATGATTAAATTTCAGTTAGGGTAGTTTAAAATATTTAAGCAAGCAATTAAGGCTCTAGAGTTTCAATTAAAGATGAATAAGGAAAATTAGTCAGAAATTAGCATAGAAAGTTTAAACCATGTCCTATTAGACAATAACTAAGGGGGTTAACTGAGGATAAGTGTTTGTTTTGGGGTAATTAGATGAATTAAGAAGTAATTAAAATTTATTCAAGGCATTAAGTTTCGATTGGGATGTTTTAGTGCAAATTAGGCTTGCAATTTTTAGAATTGGGGAGGGAAACATATAAATAATATAATTAGACATCATACTTAAGAAAGCCCTCTGAAAATAGTTAATAAAGTTTTGGTTTTGTCTAATTTTGCATGAAAATCATGTTAATTGGCTAAAGTAACATCACATGGGTAGTATACATTA